AGTTAGAACACTCATTAGTGTACGAGCTCATAGGTTCAATACTAAATTGGTAGCAAATTAGTCAAACTAATTTACTAATTAAAGTTGGTGTTTAACAACATTCCTCAACGACGGATAACATAAAATGTACAATTATTCTTAAGAACCTGCTAAATAAAGATGTAATATTTTTCTGTCATTATTGCTCTAGGTTAACCCTAAAATATGGTTTAACTATCAAATCCCAATAGATAATTAATTATATTTCATGTCAATTATAATTTATTAATGAATGACATAAGAATTTTTTTTTTAATTCAAATGTCATGGTCAATGTCTTAATTTAGTCATTATAATAAATAATAACATAAAGTTTAAACTTATTATCAAAGTTGACAGATTCTGTCTTGATCAATCATTAATTCTACAAATATTTAATCATATTTTTTCAACTGCAGTTTTATGACTATACATGTTTAGAATCAAAGTATAATAAATGACTTATCAATTACCATGATGATTTCAGGTTTAAAGAAATTCTTATATCTCATCAAAATAAAAGAATATTCTATTGATAGTTTAAGATAATATTAATCATTAGAAATTTTCAATTGAGTCGATTCAACGATCATATCTTCATATGCATCATCTATATATGTGATTTAATTAATGAGATCAACTAATCTTTATCTTATAGAGACTATCACATATATATTAGTTTTACCAGATTATTAATGTTCTGTTTTGATGATCCAATGACTAAAAATATTTTAAATTAAATCATAAAAAATTTACTCTCATTATCAAGATTCTCATCTTGATGTAAAATCTACAAATTTAATCAAGAACTTTCTAACACCCACCAAAATCTTTTATTATTATTAATAAATATAATTTTTTATTTAATTTATTTTATTGTACTTTATTTTATTTTAATTTAATGTAAAAATGGAGTAAAATTGATGGAGCATTAAATTGAAAATAATTTTGGAAAAATTGGTGAAAATTTGGGTTCTGAAGGTATTTTTGAAAGAAAAATCAGAACTGGTGGTCAAAAAGTAATTTAAAAAAAATTTGTCACTTCAGATGCCCGGTCAGCAACCTCGACCAACCAAGACGCACCAAGTGGCAGAGGTGCTAACGCGGGAGGGCCTAGTAGGCGATCCGCGTGCGCACAATTGAACGGCTGGGTCCGTTCCTGCGCACACGAACAATTTGGATGCGCTCCCTCCCAAACGCAATCAGACGACCAGATTAAAAACGATTGGATGGTCCAGAGTGAATCGCGATGGACGGCCCATATCAAAAGCAGATAGGTATTAATAACCTCCATTTGCATCAAACCCTAACCCTAGTCGTCAGAATCCCTCGCCAAAGAAGACAACCCAGATGCTGGGGAGCTGACCGCCAAAAAAGGTAAAAACTTTTTTTTTTTGCACGAAATTCAATTTTAGGTTTACTCATGGCCAAATCAGAGTGAAAAGAGTGGCCAATTGGCCAGAAAACACCGATGAAGCCCGACACTGCCGCTGCGGAGAATTTCACAAACTGCCTCCAGTGAGGCCCTTTCCGATTCCCGTTTGGCATAATTTTTTCACCCTTGTGATCACCGTTTGCTTCTCTACAAGTTGACCGAAGCGAAACACCAACCCGCAACGTGAACTGGAGGAGTCGTCGTACCGGAGAGATCCGTCGCCAGTGAGTTTCGACTTTTTATATTTTTTCGGCCAATTGAGACTCTTTAACGTATTTATTCGCAGGAATCGATGCAAAATTAGCCAAATTCGGCCAAAAACGGTCGAAAATGGCATATCCGAGGCAGACCACCTCTACGGGTGACGGTGTTGTCGCCGGAGCACGGCGGAGCCACGTGTCGGATTTTTAAAATTGGTCGACTGGATCCTGGGACTGATTTTGGGTTTATTTGGAACATTTGTAGATATTATAAGCACGTTTCAGTTCCCGGAGAAAAATTCAGGAAACTCAGGAACCAATCATAAACGCAGTAAATCGTTTAGCTCTTCGACGTCAAATCAAGTAAGGACCCCTCACCCTATTTTCTATCATAAAATTGGAGTTTAAATAAATAATAATACTGTATTTTGTACAAATTAAATAGATGTGCATAATTAATTACGAATTGCTGATGGAGCCCGAGCCGGACATTGTTTTCTGTTGGTTTATTTTACAGTCTAAAAGCATGATAGTATCTGATTTATCTATTTTATGGCTTAAATGCATGTATTGCTGCCTTACCTTGATACATGTTTATTTGTTTATATAATTATGTTTGATTTGGGTAATGGAGACTAAAGGAAAACAGGAAGGTGATGTGATTAAATAATAGATGGGACGGGTAGCCCTACTAGATATTCTAGGAGATAGTGGACGGATTCGAGTACATAGAAAAGCCTACC